CGGACCTTTCACTCTTCCTTCCGGGCTATTCTTCAAGCCGACTGCAGCCCAGCTTCTCTCCTTTAATCCTCTTCCAAGAGCACAGTACTGACCGGGAAACAACCCTGCGCACCAATCTCGATTGCACTACTCGGCCTAGATTCCTATTTTCCAGAGCCTCAGTTTCCACATCTGTACAATGGCGGTAAAGATCCGAGTCAACGTTTGCTGAGGTTAAAACGAAGTATCACGAACTGCCCCAACACGTTCACAGCACCTGATACTTTCTAGCTCAGAAAGGTTCAAAGAACTCTTGCTCCTCCGCTGTACGATTTTTTTCCCCATCCGTGTAGCTGGCTCCGACCCTCAAGTTGGCCACGGGGTCCTCTTGTGGTATTGATTTGGCTCTAGCCTCGATGACATCGCCCAGATGAGCATGCTTTTGAGAAGCCAAGGGTTAGTGAATGAGTTGAACATTTCTTTCTGGAATCTCCCTCTTTACCTCCGCGGGAGCGCGCTGGACCCGCTAAGATGAGGCCTGGGAGCCTGTGCCAGGGCCTCGCAGAGCAGGACGCACAAATTGTATTTCAGCGCCGGGTCCTTCCGGGTTAATGAGCTGACACCATGATTAAAGCTGACCATTTGTAATGTGTCTCGACCCCGCCGCAGAGCCCTGAAGAGGTTAATGCGGTGACGGAGGCCGGCACCTGCCCCTCGCCAGCCTCCCGGGTCTGGGCGCGTAGCCTCCTGGCCCTCCGCTCCCTCCCCTGGCCCTGTCCCGGCTGCGCCACCGACCCCTAATCAATTAGCCCATTAACGAGCCCTTTGAGGAGTTAAGTAGGGAGAGTTCCGCCACGGGCAGGGCCGCAGTCGGTAACTCACCGAGGCTAATGATATTATAAGCGCTTTACTCAATAACCCGGGAGCGGTGCAGGCGAGGAACTGCACCGCCACGGTGCAGTCTGGACGTTTGTGGGGACTCGTTCTACACTCTGTCTTCGCTCTTGGCTCACCTGGGGTGTGTCTAAGGAACAGGGTTCCCGGGACCTCAAGGCTGCAGCCACAAAGAGTGGGTTTGGCTGGGCGCCTTGGGCCTTGCTCCTTTCCATAAAGCTTGTGTCAATAACTGTCGCCTCAAATCCCTTTGCTTGCGCTGGGATGACTCTAGATCAGGTAACAGGTGCTCTGGGGATTAAACAAGCAGGAGTCAGGGCTCAGAGGGAGGACACGGAAGGAGAGAACCGGGTTTTATTGAGCTCCGCCTTGACCTCTGAAAGGAAAACATCACATCAAACAATTTTTAGGGAAAAGTCTACATATCTTGCCCAAAGACATCCTGTCCATGCTTGACAAAGTCCCGCCCAATTCTAAAACGTCCCCATAGCCACCTGCTTCTCTTCCTTCCATTTGTGGCAACTTCGAGAGCACCAATATTTACCCACAAAATAAAAATGAGTTTAGTCGCACCGTGGTAAGGAGAGCTGTGTGGAATTCGACCGAGGTTTAGGAACTAACTGTTCTGCACTCCGAGGGCTTATGGGTTTCTGGCGCTTTCCACCTCTAGCTGACACCTCTTCAAAACAGGAGAAAGGGGCTGGGGTGGACGACACTAAGGAGTTTGCCAGAGGGCAGAGATACTTCTGCTGGGACCAGATATGTTCAAGCTAGCACGGCGCAAACGGTGGCGTTGGAATGTGAACCGGAACCTTGGCAGATGTAGGGCTCTCCCGTTTCCAAAATGTTGTGGTCCCTGTGGCCAGTGGGAGTCTGCAGGTGGAGAGCCACAGAAGTTCCCTGCTCCCGGGTCTCCCAGGAGACACAGAGAACCCAGAGAAGGGCATCTTTCTGAGCCCCATGCTGTTTATCTCCCCTACCCTAACGCGGCGGGAGACCCATAGCTCCCTGCCGGTTCCCCGGAGGCTGGCAGGGGTTCAGGGCTCCGAAGGGAGGCGGTAGCCTACGGGGGAGCATCTCGGATGATGCTCCTAGTGGAGAGAGCCCCACCAGCTCGAAGCCCTGCGCTGCCCCCGTTTCTGGACAGACAGGGATGAGGAGAGTCGGGTTGGAGAGGCCAGGGATCCGGCTGCAGTCTAAGCCGCCTTCGGGCCCCGATCCCCCAGGCGGCGGCACCAGGCGTGCTCCCGGAGCTTCCCGGGGCTGCGTGCTCGGCCCCAGCTTTTTAAAAAATTCCGGGGCCGCTCCGCGGCGCTGCGATTGGCCGCGGCCGGGTAACCTCTATGCAAATGAGGCCGCGCAGCCTCCGCGGCGCCCGAGCCCGGTGGAGTTGGCAAGGCAGGAAGGGACACTGGCACCGCAGCTGGGCGGGCTCCCCCAGAGCCGGGCCGACGGGGACCCGCGCGCAGCGGCCCGGTGCCTGCTCGTCCCGGCGCCGAAGGGACTCCTCGCCAGCCTCGTGGCCCCCTCCCCCTCGCCTCCCCTCCCGCCCCTCCCCCTCGCCTGCCTGCCCGCGCCACCTTCCAACCAGACCCGCTCTAAAGGGAGTTCTTGGTTTCCTCCGATTTCTTATGAACCCAGGATGGGCAGCAAGGAAGATGTGGGGAAGGGATGTCCGGCGGCCGGTGGCGTCTCCAGCTTCACCATCCAGTCCATCCTGGGCGGGGGCCCCTCCGAGGCACCGCGCGAGTCCGCCGGGTGGCCAGCTAGGAAACGCAGCCTGTCTGTGTCCTCGGAGGAGGAGGAGCCGGAGGAAGGCTGGAAGGCTCCGGCTTGCTTCTGCCCAGGTCCGCACGGCCCCAAGGAGCCAAGCCCTAAGCACCATCCCCCCATCCCTTTCCCTTGCCTGGGTAAGGATCGCCCGTCGGGAATCTGGCCCCCGGGCGTGAGCCGACGCGGTGTGTGTGTGTGTCTGGGAGACTCGGGAACGGAGCACCCTCCGGACCCAGCCGGGCTGCTGGGGATCCAGGCTAAAGGGAGGGCGCTAGGTCCCAGCCGTGTCTCCTCGGAAGGGCCGGCATTAGGGAGGAGTATAGGGCTGTTGGGGGCGTTTAGGGGAAGGCTGGGCTGGAAAGAGCGAGAGCCGCAGCGGGGCCAGGGGCTCTGCGGGAGGCACAGACGTGGGCCAGAACGCTTTCTCACGCCGACTACCCCCTGTCCCGACCTGAGTTCTGCAGGTCTGGTCTGGGCTCTGTCTGTCCCGCAGTCTTTGTGTCTTTTCTCTCCGCTCGGTCTCTCTTCCAAGTTATTGGTACTCCAAAATGATTGACAGCGGCGCGATTCGAGAGGGTTCCTCCTGACCGCAGCTAACGGGGGAGAGCCAAGGAAGTCCTTAGCCGCTCTTCCAAGGAAAAGGGCCTGGAAAACTGATGCCACCTTATAAGGCTCAGTTCTTAAAATCACGTTCAAAAAAAACGGTGTTACTGTCCCCATCTTAAACCTGTTACCGCCTTTTCGTTCGTGTGACTGGGTGCAGGGACTCCCGTGCCCTGATTTTGTGGGAGCCTCTTCTGCTGCTCCGAAAGGCCGAGGCTCCGAACTTTGGGCGTCGGCAGGACGCGGTAGACGAGGAGGAAGGGGTTGGAAACAGGGGACCAAGAAGGCAGGCCCCGGCCGACCTTCCGGTCCTGGGAAGGGCTGAGCGTCTTCGAGGCGGCGCCCCAACCCCAAGGTCATTTCGCGTGTGCTTCCCCTCCAGGTACCCCCAAGGGCAGCGGCGGCGCGGGGCCTGCGGGCTCGGAGCGCGCGCCTTTCCTTTCTCCTTCCCACCCGGACTTTAAGGAGGAGAAGGACAGGCTCCTGCCGGCAGGCTCGCCTTCTCCGGGCCCGGAGCGGCCGCGGGACGGCGGCGCGGAGCGGCAGGCCGGGGTGGCCAAGAAGAAGACGCGCACCGTCTTCTCGCGCAGCCAGGTCTACCAGCTCGAGTCCACCTTCGACATGAAGCGCTACCTGAGCAGCTCGGAGCGCGCCTGCCTGGCCTCCAGCCTGCAGCTCACCGAGACCCAGGTCAAGACTTGGTTCCAGAACCGCCGCAACAAGTGGAAGCGGCAGCTCTCGGCCGAGCTGGAGGCGGCCAACATGGCCCACGCGTCGGCGCAGACTCTCGTGGGCATGCCGCTGGTGTTCCGGGACAGTTCGCTGCTGCGGGTGCCCGTGCCGCGCTCGCTCGCCTTCCCGGCTCCGCTCTACTACCCGGGCAGCAACCTCTCGGCCTTACCGCTCTACAACCTCTACAACAAGCTCGACTACTGACGCGCCCGCCCGCCCGCTCATCCGCTCATCCGCCCGCCCGCGGGCTCCCCGGGCGCCTCCCGCCGCCTGCAGCCGCCGGGAGAGCGGGGCGCGGGCGGCCTCCTCCCCGGGGCGCCGAGCAGAGCGGCGCGCGCGACCGGAGACGTTTGAGAAATACACCATGTGTATTCGTTACGTCCTATTTATGGCCTCTTCCCCGTTTTTCTGTTCGTCTCGGGTATTTATCTGCGTTCCTCACGCCGGAACACCTGGCTCTCTCTACCCAAAACCTAAAGCAAGACGCGTTTGAAAAACTGTCTCGGAAAGGGAGATTCTCGGGCGGTGGTGGGAAAGAGAGTTTTGGCTGGTAGCAAGAAAAACAAACAAAACAACATCAGAAAACACAGCAAAAAACAAAAAACAAAAACCCGGATAGTCTTTCTCCCATTTGTGCACCTGTATATATACACATATGTGTGTGTGTGTGTATACAAGGATACACCGTTAGCCAAGAGCCAGCTAGGGCCTTGGCCATTGACCTAATCACTTCTCTTCGCTCCCTTCATCTTGATGATGGGTAGGGGTGAAACGAGCAGAGTACAGATCTGTAAATATTTTTAAAGAGGAAAAAAATAATAAAACGTTTTAAACACGGTTGCTAACTTTGGTGGGATTAATTGTCCAGCGAGACAGCGCACGAAGGGGTCTGAATTTTTAGCGCCAGGGCATGCAAGATTCTGTGTGGTTGCCCCCGGCCCCCGGCCCCCGCCCCCCAGGCCCTGCAATTACCACGTGAGGGTGGGGTTGGGCTCGGAAGCTAAAGGTTGGGTTGTTGGGGCTGCCCAGGCAGCACGTGACTGGAGCTGTTTATTGGAATAGCGCAGCTCCTACGACCCAGGTGTACTGGTTGGGGTGCACTCCTGGATGGAATCCAGTGCCCGCGCCCGCCGAGAAAGACAAAGCCTGGCTGCTGACCCGGTGGCCTCTGGGAATGAGCCAGGCAAGGATTTGAACGTCTCCCTGGTACTGGGATATTTTGTTGTTGTTGTGGGGGGGGGGGGGGGGGGGCGGTTGTGGACGGAAGATGCTCTTGGGGTCCTCCTGTGCCAAGTAAGACGTGGTGTGTGAGAAAGCCTCCCCTTGGGGTTCAGAGCCCTAGGCGACCCGCTTGCAGCCACGCACAGTCCCCTGGCTGCTGACGCCTTTGGGTGTTCTGCGCGGAGCGGGGAGAGATGCCTAAAGGCCACGTTTCGATGGAGGAACGCGTGGAGCAGGTGGCACGGGCGCTTCCCGAGGCTCCCTTTGTAGCTGTTGCAGTTTGCGCCGTGAGTGGCTAAACGGTAAGATCTTCAGCCAACGCGCACCGGCTGTTGCTGAAGTGAACCCTGAAGACTGCAGTGCCCACACACCTGCCTCCTGGCTGGCAGGGCTGGGGAGGGCGGCACCCAGGGGCCGCCAGCGCCGGGATCACGCAGATCACAGCCTGGCTCTCCATTTTGATAGCAGCCACCTGTTTCTTGTTAAAGGCCAAAAATGGATGCGGACGCTTGGAGGAGGCCTCGGGTTATTAGGTCCGCCTGCCTCCCTTCAGTGGTTGACCAAGGAGCTAAGAGCCCGCAGCGCCGAGGCACTATTTCTTTCTTTCTTTCTTTCTTCAGAAGAAAACCTGTCTTTTTGAGCCAAGAGGCGTCGAAATGACTTGCGTGTTGTAGGAATACACAGAATGTAAATGTTCCTATACCATTCCGTGTAAAATGCCTGGCCTGAGAGATTGGCTTTGATGTTGCCCATTTTCTTCTTATCACATTATATTTTATAAAACCCGCAACTACTCGGAGGTGTCTTCAGACGGGTGCCACTCAAGAATGCACCCGACAGTACTAGGTTGGTTTATTTGCATTTGTTTTATTTTAGCTGTGTTTAGTCAATAAGCGTTTGTTGGGGTCCTAATACATGCTGAGAACCTACACTAAATTTGGGGTGGTCAGAGGTAGAACCAGAAGAGGCCTATCCGTTCCTTTCTCATTTATTGAATATGTGTGTTTTATGTCACTGAAGTTGTCGATCTGGATAACCTCTTTGCATTTTCACCGACAGCATTCTTTGAACATTGCACACAGAAACAACCAAATTACTTCAGAGGAGCATCTTGTGGAGAATTATTCCATTCGGGTAAATTACAGTTTGACGATGGGCTTAGCAGCGTCGGGTCACCCTGTTCGCTTGAGGCAGGCTTTCTCTACAGGGAGTGACTTCCTTAATTAATGTCTGGGGTTTGCCTTTACTATTTTAGGGAGTGAGCATTTTTCCAGTTGTCACATGACATATATTTGACTTTCTTTAGCCACCCAGGAATTAGCCTGGACGGGTGACCCAACGCTGCAATTCATTTCTAGGAGTTTTCTTCAACAGGTAACTGAATAGTCACACACACACACACAAACACACACACACACACACACACACACACACGCGCGCGCGCGCGCGTGCACACACGCACACGCTTCACATTTGTGTTGCAAAATGGTCAAAGCTCTACTGTTGCCAGATTTCCTATCTCAAGTCTATCAATTCATTTGAATAATCAGCAAAACAGTCCATCTCCTTTCAGGCTCTAAACCTGATTTAAAAGATTGACGTTTCTTAAAACTCAAATAGAGTTGGGCTGCGACTGCATGGCCAGAGGGGCCTGCATCATACACACACGGGATAATGAAATATGCTTAGATTTTATTAGTAGGTAATTTATGCTTAGAATCTGGAAACACTAATAGAATTAAATAAACAACTGGGAAAGAGAACCAAATAAGTCAAGAGGTAAAATTATTTTGCTAAAGTTAGAATGCAAAACAACCCAACTGCATTAAAAAAAAATTGAACTTGGCCATTGATTTCTTGAAAAAGAGAAAAGAGAGAGAGAGAGAGAGAACCACATAGTAGAACTATTCAGAGAGGGGCAAGGATCAGAATATTTTAGCTGTAATAACCATTATCAGGACAATAAAAGAAAGGTTGCTGTGTGTGTGTGTGTGTATCAGAAATCTTAAGTGATTTTAGTTCAGAGTGTGTGCACACATAAGATCAATTTGTTTCTATTAATATACCTTGAAAGCTAAACAGGTTAATCCTAGTGACAACTTCCTCCAAAATTTCAAGATGAAAATGACTATCTCAAAAAGAGATGGCAGAGAAAAGTTGTAGCAAGGATTAAATAGAAACTCTTGGCAATATTTTGCATGTCAGTATGCCAGCCACTATATTGTTAGTCAAATACTGCTTTTCTTTCACGGAACCAAAACAACCTCTTGTCAATGAAGCAACCCCTTTGATTCTCATATTTCCGGAGAACTCTAGATACGGAAAATGCAGCAAAGGGAGCCTGCAATTCCCATGGTACAGCAGGGTAGGATAGAAGGGGAGAGGACAGCCACAATGTTAGGAGCTACGATGAACCCTGAAATATTCTGCTTGGGCTTTAAAACATTATCTTTGTCCTACTGTGTTCACTCTTCCGGACATGGTGATCTTTTAAAACAAGGAGTAGTTTGATTGAACACGTATTCCCAGAGCGTCTTCCAGGCCTGACATTCAGGTACTTGATAACTATGGAGAAATAAAACATTAGAAACCAAGCCAAGTCCCTATGGGATCACTAGAACTCAAGGGAAACGAGACACTAGTTCACAGATGGAAACCCAAGCAAAATGAAAGCAAATAGTGGATTTGACTAGAACCTATTTCCTTCAGTATGTCCGGTTTGGATTAATTCCGGGGCTATGTGCTTGGCCAGAAAGAAAATGTTAATTAAGTTCTATAGTAGAATCAACCAAATGGAAATTCTGTGTCTGAGAGATCTCAGAGAAGGGTGCCACAATCAGAGTTAGATAAAAAATCTTTCATGCCCCTTAGCCTGTAGCTGGCCAGACAGGCAGCCAAGAGAAGACTACATCTCCCAACATGCAGCGTACAACAGTGGGCGGGCGTGAGCCCCTCCTTGGTCTGGGCATATATGGGAGTTGTAGTTTTCTCTCCGCAGCTTCAGCGACGTAACCTCTGCGTGGTGGTACTAAAAGAGACCCAGTGAACAGGGGCAAAAAAAAGAAACAACCAACGCAGTTTCCCTTTGAGCCGGAACAGAATGACGGCCGGCAGTAGGTCAGACCAATTAGCTGCCGACATCGAGCCGTTGGCGTTCAAAATCAGCCAATGATAGGCCTGCTCCGGAGCTTCCTCTACGCCTCCTTCAGCCTGCGAGTACTGGGAGGGAAGCGGCGAGCTAGTGGCGGGTGCAGAAACGTTGCCTAGACGGACACGAGGTAGAGACCGCGGGAGGGCGGGTGGCGCGGGGTCCGGGGCCTGCAGCCGCTGGGTCTGTGCACAGGGGGATCCGGCTGGCATTCTTTGTGTGTTCGGGGGGGATACTTGGGCCGGGAATCAGGCCAGGCCGGGTGGAGCTCAGCGGGAGCGGGATGGCGGCCGGTCTGGAGCCAGGCGGACGCCGCTCTGCGCAGGCGCAGGCCCGGGTCGGCCTCTTGCTCCGGTAAGGGATTCAGACTGCGCGTTTGTTCTGCAGATGACAGGTTCGAACGAATTCAAGCTGAACCAGCCACCCGAGGATGGCATCTCCTCGGTCAAGTTCAGCCCCAACACCTCCCAGTTCCTCCTGGTCTCCTCCTGGGATACGTCCGTGCGCCTCTACGATGTGCCCGCCAATTCCATGAGGCTCAAGTACCAGCACACTGGTGCTGTCCTGGACTGCGCCTTCTACGTAGGTGGATTCAGTTTCTGCTCCTGTCCCCTTACTGAGAAAGCGTAGGCTGTGCCAGTAGCATCCCATACACCGTTTGGACAGTTCATTGCTGTTCTGGAATGCTTTCCTTTAACCTGACATTGAGCCTACTACCGTGGTGTGTTTTTTTGTTTGTTTGTTTGTTTGTTATTTCCTTTCAAGGCAATTTCAATATCCCTTTTCAAGTTCAGGCTTGGGTAAACAATTGTATTTGAAATTATCAGCAAGACCAG